GTTTGTGTCTTATTTACTTTTCTTGTTGTTCAGAGAGAATACTTGACACCCAAAGTGAAGTGCGGAAAGGTTTATTTTGGATCACACTTTGGAGAGGTTTCAGTCCATAATCATATGACTCCAGGGCAGGTTGACATGGCAGAGGTGTATTACAGAGCAGGCAGAAGACAGCAAAAGCAGCAAGCAGAGAGTGACACGTAGTGAATCACTTTATGTCCCATATATCCTATCCTGGGTGGTGCACACCCATCCCACACCGAGGATGGGGCAGCCTTAATCCTACTATGGGGCCATGAATCAATCTCAGTATCACATCCTTGATCCCACCTTCACACACTCAAGATCCAGCCACCTCAGAAAAGCCCCACCTATGACTGCATGAGGCCTTGGGGGGACATCTAGATACAAGCCATAACAGTTTGTGGCCTAACATACTAACTGTCTTATAGAGTGCTCTGTGTATACCTCAGAAGAATGACTTCCTTTCTTTCTTGTTTCCATTTTGACTTGAAGCCTGTTTTATCTAATACAAGTATTCCCACTGCTGCTATCTTTTGGTTTAGATTTCTATGAATTGTTATTTTTTTCCCTCTTATTTCAACCTATGTGTTTCTTTAAAGCTAATGTGAGTCACTTGAGGACAATGTATCATTGGAGTATTAGTCAGTGCGTACTACAGAAACAGATTTAATACAACATATACAAATATATAAGAATTTGCAAGATTGGCTTACAGTGGCTCTCCACAGAATCAGATGTGGAGGAGTGCAAAAAGTCTATCTGCATACTGGAGATCCAAAGGATTTAGTCAAAAGCCTGGAGCCTACTGTAGTGTTCACGCGATTCCATATCAAGAAGTTGAAGGTCTATCATAGAAAGCTGAAGAATCTGCACTGGAAGACTGAAGATCTATGCTGGAAGCACCGATAAGTCCAAAGTGAAGGTGAAGACCAGAGATCCTCCAAAGAAACAGAAGCAAGGCTTTCTTCTTCATTTTCATTTTCTACCATTCTGGTAACAATTCTTCCTAGGATGAGTCTTCCATACCTTGAATTATGTTGATCCAAATTAGTTGGACATTTCTTACCCAAGTTAACACAATCAGTCAACTATCACAATTAGAGTATGCTTCTTAATACATTTGACGACCTTCCTGTTCAATGACTGGACGTATGACCTGCTCAGACTTTAAACTCTCCTTTTTTTGTACAGTTCTGTACATTTTTGTAGAGGCTCAATGTCTTTTTTGTTCAGTATACCTTGTTTATACTGTACTGTAATTTTTGCTGGTTGTATGGTACAGTACTATAGTTTTATGTTCTGTTATATACATTGCAGTACTGCATGTATGAGTTACCCAAATAAAAGCAAAGTCATCAAGTTGAAGGTTCCTTTGACTATTTCTTTGTTCTTAATATTGTAGTGTACATACTATGGATAATTCCTCACTTAGAGACCAATTCATTTAATGAGTTCGTCACAGGAACATAGCTCAATCATTAACCCATGTATGTCTATATACTCAGCCACTCTCTTTAAATTGTAGAATTTACACCATCATAGTTAAGCAATTATCAATAAACTGAAACTGTATTACCTTTTGATTAAATGATTATTTCGTAAGGTTTTTTGTTGTTCATTTTTTTCCTTTCTGTCTTCCTTTGAGATTTGATTTTTGATTATGATATGTTTAAATTCCTATTTATCTGCTTTTTGTATGTTTACTACACTATACATTTGTATATTTGTAATTGTCATGAGGCATACCTAAAACTCTTATACTTGTAAAAAATCTATTTTAGGGTGGAAACTTTGACTTCATGCTTTCTCCACATGTGCATTTTTGGTGTCATATTTTATTTCATTTTTACTTTGTACACATTAACAAATAATTGTTCTCAATACAAATTAAAAATTATTTCCCACCATTACACTATTGAAGTATTCTGAATTTTACAATATACTTATTATTATCAGGGACGTTTTGATTCTAAGTTTAATTACTCTCCTTAGCTGGACTTCTGATTCCGTATACTAAGTATGATACTCTAAATGTGATATAAACAATACAGAGCACAAAAAAAGATAGGAGAATATCTGAGAAAGGAAAGGAGTTTCAATAAGTAGAATTCATGATTAGAAAATAACACGATTATCTTCTGTATTACTTCTGTGGAATTATTAGGAGGGATTTATTTTCCATTTACCAAATATTTATTTTTGATATTATACGAAGAGAAATTTTATGAGGTTAAGAAAATATTTGAAAAATTACTTGTGATTGTCCCATGAAGTCATCTGCATAATTGTATATTTTCAGAGTACACATATCTTATTGAGAAAGTTAACAGAATTATAAATATTAAAATACATGTACATATATGTGTATATATATTAAGATGTAATTTATATATTTCTGTTAGCTCTAATATATTTTCAGAAATATTCTTCATCTTCACATTCACAAACCATCATACTAACCATTTATATTGATAAACCAATTCATACTCTATTCTATGATCAGGAAATAAGTATTTGGATGTGTTGCACATATCTGAACCATATAGAATTTAAAAAGTCACCACAATAAATCCTGTTCTTCCAATAATCAGCATAGTACTATAATCTGGTAGATACTAAATGCGTAAATTTAGATATCAATTAATACTCTGAGGTAGACTACCATTATGATCTCTATACAACCTCATCTTTTAACCATAAAATTAAGATGTAAAAATATTGGATTATCCAATTAAGTCCTTTGGTACAGGTTAAGTTTAGCAGGTCCAAGGAATAATTCTCTTGCATTAGTTTCATAGTTCAATTCTTTCTACAACCAACCCTGCTTAATTTCCTCCTATTCCTCAGTATATACCAGTGGATACATAGGGATTTTCTTGATATCAATGGAGTGATAATTATAAACTTAGGCTTGAATTCAGATTTTTTCTGATAGCATAATAAGAGCAGCAATTAGAAAAAAATAAAAGCAAAAGTTTGTAGCTTTACAATACAATATAGTACAGCTCTAATGTACAGAACAGTAGGAGAAATAGTAAGGTAAGGAATTAATTATAGTTGGCATTATAGTTGTGCGCCTGAAGGACAATGATGTGGAGAAATTTTCCCATGTTTACAGTACATAGCCATTACATTCACCATGGCATACACATGGCATATTCACCATGGCATTACATTCACCATAACATGCCCCTTACTTCCTTTTACCCTCCTCTCCTCTGGCTTCATTCCATTTAGAGATGTAGATTTACCTTTTAAAGACATACAGAGATATAAAACTAGTCAATTTTTTTAATGGAAATATGCTGCTTAAAACAAAATGATTTCAATGATGTGTTTTTGAATTGTGTGTCATAAGTTTGTACTGAAGCTACAGGCTAAGGTAAAAGCAACTAGCTGATGAGTGGTTCTTTAATAATATCTATGTGCAGTGATGTGTTAGGTTCGCAGTTGACACTGCATGTCATAGTTGTTGGCAATTAACACTGCATGATCAAATCATTGCGATTTCACCATTTCCAACATCCTTTTAAAAATGTTGTTAGATTAATAGAATTGTTCTACAATTTTATGTATGTATGAGTTATTTGTACATAATCTTTATTGGTAAATAAACTGTATATATTAATATAGTTGTATTGTTTCAGGATATTTAATTCACATTTCTGAGGTGGATTTTCTCATTCTCAATTTGTGGATAATAAGTGTATGTAAGTTAATACATATAGGAAGATGCCAGGAATTGGAAAGTAAGGATTATAACTATATAACTACATAAATTCATATTAATCTACCATTTTGCTCCAATATTAAGAGAAATTAAAATGATGCATAAGAAATAATTTTTATATTTTATGATTTTAATTGCTGATTTGGCTACATTTCCAATGCACTCATAATTCTAAAAGAAATAAAATAAACATTATTTATGATTTAAAGAGTTGGGCAATATTTTTAAATTTCAAAAGAGCACACGTAAGTAGGTCAAAACCAATTATGCTATGAATATTTGAACAGAACAATTGAACACTAATGATTCATTAAAATTTATTTGCTCAGTGCATATTTTTTATTTTAACATCTTAACTAGTAGTGTGATCTCTAGAATTCAACAGGAAAGGAATGATTCCTGCCCTAATGAAGATTTCTTTTGTAAATATGTCATATCACTGATAATAAAGTAAATACTACATTTTAATGTTTGAGTGTCAAGTGACCAAGGGGACTAGAATTAGCTCACTTGTTCTTAAAATGTTTTCAAGTTAGTGAAGTCCACATATGAGTGATTTCCACTATTTTCTATATGTTTTATGTCACCCCTATCTGCTGCTCATTTTTTCTCTTCCTTTATTCCATTCATGATAGCAAAATATTTTAGTTAAGACAAAAAATAAAAATTCAAAAATTTTTATCAAACTAAGTGAAATTTGGGGGAGGGGGGTGTCAATGTTATGAATTTTTTTTTCTGGTACTGGAGATTGAACTCAGGACCTTGCATTTATGAGGTAGGCATGGTGCCACTGAGCTAAATCTCTGGCCCCTTATGATACTTTTTGCAAAATTACATAAGAAAAACTTTAAGAGAAGTTTTTAAAATGAAATCCAACAAGCAGGAATCATGCCTTTGCAAAATATATTGTATATGTTTATTTAACAAGTTAAAAATATAGAACAGTAGAATGAATTAACTCCCCTGAAAGATCAATAATTAGACTGGGAACTAGGAGATATAATACATAGTTTTCTACTTACTGGACCATAACTGCTGAATGTGCCTGTTTCTAATAAACCTATTGCTGTTCCATGAGATATGAGACATATGTTTGAAACCAATGATGGCTAAATTTTTAGAGCTTTCAGTAATAGACTGTGGCAAGTGTGCTATAGGTTCACCACCACTGAATTAAGTGATATGAATTTAAAAGTACTTGCAAAGTCAATGTATTATCAATCTGAACTGTCCAAGACGTTGCTGGGCATTAATGGTTCCCTTTGGGATGCATATAGTTGTTTCTAAATCTCTGCATAGCACTTTTCATCTCCTTATTTCGCAGGGTATAAATGGCTGGATTTAGGAGAGGAGTAATAACAGAGTAAAAGACAGCAAGAAATTTGTCCAGCCAGGTGATGTTTAGTGGCCACACATAGATGAAGATGCAGGGCACAAAGAAGATCATCACCACTGTGATGTGGGCAGTGCAGGTGGACAGTGCCTTGGAAGCACCTGTTTTGGAGCTTTGGCGGACAGTGAGAAGAATGTATGTGTAGGATATCAGCAAAAGAATAAAGCAGGTTACAGCCACAACTCCAGTGTCAGCATTCATTAATGTTCCCAAGTCAGAAGATTCCATGCAGGCTAGCTTGATTATCAGTGGTATATCACAGAAGAAGCTATCCATTTCCCTGGGGCCACAGAATGGCAGCTGCATAATCACAACCGTTTGACTCATGGCATGCACAAAGCCAGCTGTCCAGGATGTCAACACTAGTCCAATGCATCTCTTCAAGTTCATAAAGATGGAGTAGTGCAATGGTTTGCAGATGGCCACATAGCGGTCATAGGCCATTGCCACCAGAAGCACCATCTCACTCCCTGCGATGAAATGGACAAAGAGGATCTGGCACATGCAGCCTCCGAAGGAAATGGTCTTGTTCTCATGGAGAAAGTCTGTGATCATCTTAGGAGTTGTCACTGAGGAAAGCCACATGTCAACAAAGGACAAGTTGGCCAAAAAGAAGTACATGGGGGAATGAAGATGAGGGTCGCTGATTATTAAGATCAAGATAACAGTGTTTCCAGATACAATGATCAGGTAAAGCATCAAAAATATCACAAAGAGCAAGACTTGAATATCCCATGAGTGGCAAAGTCCCAGAAGCACAAATTCTGATACTACAGATTGATTTCCTGAATCCATTCTTTGAAGTATGTGCTTTTAATTAGTCTAGAAGTGATAGATTACCAGTTAACGGGATGAGAAAAGGAACTTAAATTTTGGAATTTGATATTCACATTGATATTCAGCATCAATATTTGTAATTGAAAAGCAAATTTTGACATGAATTATTAGTCAAATGTACATGGGATTGTGCCCAAATTAGAAGATAAAGGTTTTCTAAAAATGACTTTTTCTGGAAGAAGTCTGAGATGCAGTTCTAATCCAAAGGATTTAGTGAGTGTTCTCACAAGAAGAAAATCGAGAAGCAGGACAGATAAAAGACTAAGAGGATGATTGTGATTCTGTCCAGTATTCCAATAGAAGTAACACTAATTAGGCCAAATATTTAGGAGTATGGTGGTTTAGTGATATTCAAATGCAGTACCACTGACATGATGCAACGTAAGTTTCTCTGTATTATATGTAATGACTCCTTCAAGCTTTGATTGAACTTTTTAAACTAGAAATCCTATTTTACTTTAATATTATCCTTTTCAAACATACCCATACATTGAGGAAACCTTTGAAAGAAGCTACACAAATCAATATATACTAGTCATAGTGGTATAAGTGTTTGGATGCAAAGCTAGTACATAATTTATCATTAAGTGAAGCTTAAACTCTAATGGCATTCATTTAGCAGGGTATTTGGACCAAAAACACATGGCAGTACAGAAAATGTAGAAAGAGATTAGCCAAAGCTGTGTGTGATTGTGTCTCAGACTCTGACTTCTTTAACTCTGAATGCAAGTTTATTAATTAAAGCTTTTCAATAATTAATATTTACCTTCAATTTTACAACTAGATTTTAGGAAACTATTGGCTTTGGAATATTGCAATCCTCAGGTAATCAGAGATGAAAATGTTTTCACCTACTTATTCTATTTTTGCAAGTAAAAAATTACATACACCTGTAAGGTATGTCTTTGATTATTAGAACTAAGGGAAGGTGAAGTTCAATGTACAGTGAATTTCTAAATATATTAGTGATATTGATTACCTTGATTTCTAAGTAAATACTGAAGGAAATTAAAAAATTAAGAATTAAGAAATCCTTGATTTCTAAGGAAATACTTAAGAAATTCCTAAGTATATACTGGAAGTAAAATAGTCTCTTTCTTTCCCTTGGGTATTTTTTTATGCTGAGCATTGAATCATTTTTTCTATATTTCTTGGTTGTGTTTCATTTTTCTTTTCTTTACTTTCTTTTTTTGGACAGTTTTGTATATTATTTGGAATTCATGTGTGTACCCAAGAAAGTAGATGAAAATGCAAATTGCTACATTATGGTGAGAATTGGATTTAGTTTCCTTTCAATATTTATAGAGCTATAGAGTAATGATGGAAAGAGAAAATTTTCCTAAATACATTACTAAATAGCACATACATTTACTATGAAAAGGGAAACATACCATACAAATGAACATATCTTCTATGATAGATTTACTCAATTTCTAATGAAAAATTCTGGTTTTGAGCACTGACAAATTTGAATAATCTAGCATTTATCTTTAACCTTAATTTCTTATCAATACAAAATTTTCTAGAATAATGTTTGAAAAGTACTTCTGTACTTTTGGTACAAAAAGCATTGAGAAATGATATGATCAATGATAATTGTATAGACTTTTATGGCATAATGTATCGATAAAAATCATAATACCAAATAATTTCCCTGGTGTGAAAAACTTAAAGTACAAATAAGGATCAAAATGTATAATTGATATTGTGAAATAGAAAGAAAATGTCTAAAGGAGTAGAGAAATGGGAGGGGTAAGGGAAAGGAAAGAAGGGAAAAGAAAAAATA